TGGAGGAGTGCAAGCAAGCAAGGGGCGCACACTGGCCGGCCGCGGCCGCGAAAGGCGTGTGCAGCGCGAGCGGGCTCTTTAGTCTTCTGAGAAACCGGAACTCGAAACCCAAACCGAACCGGTCCAGTCGGGGCACCCGTCAGCACCCAGGGCCTCGGTGGGCAGGCATTCGAACACATACGCTCTAGATGGATTGGGTGGAAAGCTTCAGAGCAGAGCTCAGAGCAGTCTGTCTAAACCCACAATTATTGATTCGGAATTTTATCAGAAATCAATTTTTCTGGCGGCTTTCAACTGATAGACTTAAATATGTCACAACAAATGGCTCGAGTGGATGTGATCCAGATAATACGTAACATAAGCGACCACGGAGGCAATGCACTGGGTATGTAAGAGCGCACGCTGCAGTGCTGCGGGTTTGCCTACTTCCTCTACCCGTAAGGCGCCCCAAGAGGGTATGCAATGCAGCCGCCCCAGCCCCACAGCGTCCGCTCTGATACACCCGGCGTACACCTGGTGGCGGTTGGCGTTGACAGTAACTCACCGCCACAGACCTCCACCTCCGTAGGCGAGGGGGTGTCGGCGGCCTCGGCCTGGACGACGAGGAGCAGGGCGAGGGCGAGCGCCGCCAGGGCGGCCGCGGGGAGGGCGTTCATGGTGCTGGTCGAGGTGCTGCTGCCGTGCGGTGCTGCTGCTGCTGCTGCTGTGCGGTGCTGCGGTCGGGCCCGACTGGACTGCCGCGGTGCTGGGCTCGCCTTTGCTGCCTTCCGCTGACTCTCTTCTTACTCCTCTTGTGCTTCTCGCGCAACGCGGGGCGCGGGCTGCGCGGGCTGAGGTGGCGGGGTGGCGGTGGTGCCGGTCGCGGCGGCCTGCTCGGATCTCACTCCGCTGCGGAGAGGGGAGCACGACATCGTGGGAATGAGATGATTACCTATGAAGGACTTCACGAAGCGGGCAAAGACAAAGGGTCTCTCTGCTCTCTGCTCAGCCACCGTGCGGATGTGCACCTTTCATTAGCAGTACAAAGAAACATCGTCAATGCGACTGGAAATCGATTCGTTCCATTTCCGCGCGGCCACATGGTGGCCACTTGGTGTAACGAAACGGAGAGGACTCTAAATTTAATTTAGGTACACGGTAGGCTGGGGAAAAGATAATCGAATCACTGCCAGAACCTGGGGCACCCCTCAGGGTTGTAAATGTTACGTAACGATTTAACGGCGTTACTATAACGGTAACGAGATACCGTTACCGACTCCAGTAACGATTTAACGTCCGTTACATTTTCCTCGATACATCGGCTTACTTTGACTTTAACCGTGAGTCGACATATGACCCAAGGTTCACGTCACGGGCGTAGGAAAAAGAGGGCCCAGCGATAGCGCTCGGCCGGTGGGCCCTGCGTGGACTCGGGCCAGTCGCGAGGTTCGATACTCGTCGGATACTCACACTCACTCTGCTTGTCTCGCGATGTCCCGGTCCACAGTACCTCGGAGAGGTTCGTGGTTGCAGCGGGGAGGAAGGCCTTTCTCTCGGTCTCCCGTCGACGAGCTGCTGAAAGACAGACTTGGGCTCAGACTGGAGCTCCCCCTCATATGAACCTCGCGGGCAGCGCGACACCCGCGGGAAGAAAACAAGTCCATTCTGACGTCGGAATAAGGAAGTGATTTAGCATGAAATGAGCTCGTTCGAAAGGGAGAAAAAATATTACTCATGACTCAAGTGGCAGCACCCTCTCTTATTTTGCAACAATGTCTGTGTGAGGCAGTCGCAATGAACCAATAATGGGGGTCATAGGGCAGCGAGCAGGCGGGCGTCACTGCTAAAGTAATGTTATCCACGAGAGCGACGTACAAACAAACACCCCAACAAAGAGAGACGTTGTTTTGACGGGCGGACCTGCACGTGCCAAGTTTTTGCGATCGGAGTGTGATCCCTTCAACCTTTACCGGACCAGACTCACCTGACTCACTGACGCCGAATAGCGCTCCAGCGACTTCAGCTCCCGCTTACAAAGGCACAACGACTGTTTCCAGAGAGGGGCCGATGGGGCTTATAAGCTCGCTGAGACACACGCGGAGAGGAGAGCCGGACCCCAAGGGGACCCCCTCCCCGGGAGGGACCTTTTCGCACGCCCATCACGTACCTTTCGGCCCCCGCGGTCCAATGCAGATGTCAACAGCAGCAGGAGGCATCGACACGACGCTCGTCCGGAAGAAGGAAGCACCGCTCCTCTCTGGTCTGTCGCTAAATTTTACTTGGGGTTGCATGCAAGGTCGTCGGTCGGTCGGACGTCTCGCCCCGTTAGCCCCTGGGGGGGCGGGCCGACCCGTTAAACAGGCGTGTAGTGCGGGGTAGCCTATCCTGTTGGTGGTAGGGGCTCAGAGCTATCTTAGAGCCAGCTAGCCAAGCTGGATATCAGGCACGTGTAGAGAATGGAGTGTTTCATTTTGTGCCCGTAGGGATACGAGACGAGTGGAGAGACAGCTAGATGATAAAACTTGCCTGAGCCTTCGGTAAAGAAGAAAAAAGAAAGAATAAATTTAATGAAAGTTTTAGGCAAAGCTGAGCAACTGAGGGGCAGGGGCAACAGCCTTACAAGGAAACCTTTTCAGGTGTAAATCTCCGATTTTGTTGAAACTTGGAAAATTTGAAGGTTATTTATGTAGAAATCGCATGGCACTTGAATTTTTTCCTGAACCCCACAGTTAGTTTTACCCTATGTAGAGTAGGAGTAAGGTTTTTGAAAAAAGATATTTTTGAAAAATGTAAAGTAGTGTTCTAAGGGGTAACTCGTCAAAGTAGCCCCCTTCAAACCAAAATTTTGTCTGTTTTGCTCTATTTTGTACATTTAAGGCGGTAAAGGGATATTTTGGACAAAAAGCAGTGCAAGGCTTAAGTAAACCACTAGTAACTGTGAAGTTCAGGAAAATTTTTAAATGCCATCCAATTTCTACATTAATAACCTTCAAATTTTCCAAGTTTCAACAAAATCGGAGATTTACACCTGAAAAGGTTCCCATGTTAGCCCTATTCCTAATCTCAGTCCATTCCGGTTTCACCAACTTACGAATCCAATGTGCCATATAAAAGCATACATTCGTAGTCTATTTTATGTACAGTTTATTACAAACAGCTATCTCAGTTAGTACATAAATTGAAATTGTATTTAACCAGAATGTGATACAGACAGACATGTAAACGTCTCTCTCTATAGGTCTCCGACTCAAGTTCTTTATCAGGGAAAATGTGTTCTTCTAATACTTCTTCTACAACATCCCTGAAATAGAGATAAAGAAAAAAAAATTGTAATAACATGACAAGGTTTTCAATTTTTATAGTGATAGTAGAATAGGAAATTTGATTACTTCTTATACAACAGTAGCTGCAAGGTTTCTCCAATTTCCTGTCTTGTAAAACCTTTGCTGAGTAGAAAATTCAAGGTTTCATAAGCATGCTTTGCTTCAATAGTCAGAGCTAATGGTAGGCGAGCGAGTTCTGTTTTGACTTGTTGAATAGGTAAGTTCAGTTCATCTGCTAACAGAAATGGCAACTTTGTTGATTTCTTTTTATTCTTTAGTTCCACTTTTATTTCGTCGACTGAATACGAAACATCACTGTAATCTTGTAGGTAATCTTCTGAAGAGCTACAAATGTCACAAAATATAGCCCTAATTAGAGTATTTTCCGAATGTGCTGTATTAACATTTCAGGTAATCTGGGTTCAATACTTACGTAGCGCCGAAAGGTTTGTGCTGACATGGATTTAATTCCAAAGAGGAGTTACCACATTCTAACCAAAGTTTCATTTCATGTTGCCATGATCCCTCTTTGCAGTTTGATAGATTTGTATAGGGATTGCATTGCTTAGAAATTAATTTTTCCAAGTGATCTTCTGTCCTCTTTTTCTCACTTTTTAAATAACTTTGCTTGTAAAGCAACATAAGATTATTTTTATCAGGTCTTGGCTCAGTATCTATTTTTTGGAATAATCTGTCTAAATAATCGGGATTGATTAAAAAATGTTCCATTTTTCCAACCCGTAACATGTCATGACTGCACACGTTATATTTCTAGAAAGGAGAGAAAGTTATTAAAATTAATTTACAACTAATTTGTACAGAAAGCTTAAACTGAAAGCGTAGATACACTGAGTCAAAAACTACTGACCTTAAGGATAAAAAATATGGCTTTCAAATCTTCATATGGTACAAAGGCAATGTCTGAATCCTTTCGTACAATATTTGGCACTGAGTATGGTAGTTCATAGTTTCTGTCCAGTTGAAAAAGTTTAAACAAATTGTGGGGGTTTGCAAAGCAAAGCAAGGAGGGATGATTACGTATCTAAAAGGGGACCGAAGGAAAATTAAAAAAAAATAAATAATTGTTTTACAAAAACTTATCACACAGATCAGACGACAGATCAAACACACTTACCCATGACCAACTCAAACCAGCCTCTTTTACAGAGACCATATTACGGTGAGCATAAACGACAGGCGCCTCTTGATAACGGGCCCAATTTGGAAAAGAGTAGCCATACTCATATTCCATACAGTGATTCAGAACTTTGAAGTGGATTTCACAGAAAGTGAGATCTGCATCGATTGAAGGTAGGAGTGGTCCAACAAACTTTATACTAGACATCATTCTCTGAACTACATCTGTCTTCTCAGTAATGAACCCAGCGCTCCTTAACACTGGAACTGTACTACCAATAATGTGATTAAATCTGAAAGAGGAAAATTGCTTTAAATTTTAACAATTGTAGATATAATAGAGGACAAAAACAAAAATACTTACCTGGTAATACATGCACTACTACACTTAATGCCACCTTCAACACAGTATTGAAGGCGTTGTTCAATAACACCAAGAGGAACATTAAAAAGTTCAGGTTTAGACAATTCACTTTCTGCCAAACCCAGCATCTGGAAAGAATGCACATTAAAAAGGACACTGAGATACAGTAGAAAATTTCCACACTTCTGGTACAGATGGTTCCAGCAGTGCCCGTTTAAAGGAGAATTAAGGAAATCAGCACCAAAAACAGTTCTAAAATAACGTCTCGAATTGCACTATTAAATGATCAAAATCAGCAAACTTAAGGTACTGATTCAGGTCCAGACTTCCTTACTTTTTCTGGTAAGGGGTACAGCCGGAACCATCTATTGCATCTCTATTTCATAACTCACTGGTGATTCTAGCAATAACCTGTTTCATTGCTATGGCTATTTGAGTAGAGCTATGCGTCTGGGGACTTTGCTAGTAGATTTGAAACATTAAAACTTACCTGAATACGGGAGATAGATTCTTTCGTAGTGTCTCTTCTTGCTAGGTTTACAGGTAGTTTCCTGGGTGAGCCTGCACAACACAGAGCAGAAAGTTGATAGCGTAGTTGGTAAGATGTACTCATGCTTTTAAATGACAAACTTATTACAACTTACTACATATGAAAATAAACTAACCATAATTGGAATAAAATCTTAAGGGCACTCGGTGCCTGTGTATTGTGGAAGGAGTGCTTAACTGGTTTCTCAAAATAACATTCTTGCACGTTCTTGATACATGTTCGTTGACATTGCATGAAGGCAGGTAACATATAGTTCTTTGAAGTCTTTTACAAAATTTCGTAGTGAGAGTGCCCATGTCTACCAATATAATTGTAGATACTCTGCTGAAATTGATAAATACAAACGTTCCTAACCCTACTTCTGCTCTGCTACTGCTAATATGTTTTGT